CGATTTTTGTACAAAATTTATGTAAAATCGTACAGTACAAAATAGCTTTTCGTACCGTACAGTTTATCGTCATACTGTTTTTCTGTCGCCGATCTTTAGTCACTTTAGACGATCCCTATATGTGATAACAATCACCCAATTTGGATTTGTAATTTTTTCTAAAGTTACACAATAAATAATGATTTTTATAAGAATTATAAGAATGTAAAGGTCCAAGCTTAACGTACAGTTTTAAAATTTTTTTTATATGATAAATAAGCAAACCCTATTTATGACCTATATATATTATCCGGGCCTGATTCATCATCCAAGGTTGATAAATGTGCTCATCAATATTCTTTATCCACTTATTTATGTTTATAGGGTCATCCTCTTCCTTTTTTCTGATAGTATTTTCCATGGTTAACACTGTAAGCATGCGGAAAGAATGTAACTTGTGTGTGTGATTTTAATTTTTATCTTTGTTTCCAAAGAAACTAATGAGCTGTAGATCGTACCTGTTAACAAATTTAAGTTCTAATGTACATTAAAGTTTTCAAAAAATAGGACAAGGTTTTAATATAATAAAAGTGTGGACTGAAAAACCTTTATAACACAACGAAAATATCAAGGAGATATAGGCGATTATGAACTCGCGAAGGAACTTTTATAAAATAATTATTGGTTTATTTTTATTATGATTAATACGCGACACGCGTCGTGACAAGAATCACATGAGTGATAAATGTCCTCTGGACATTACACATGTCGATTATTCTTCTTTATACGCATCACTAGTACTATAACGGACAAATGTCATTTCTTCAGTTTTAGAATCCGGGTAAGTCACTTTAACTCCGACGCGATGAACCTTCGTATCTATAGTATATACGTATAAGTAATGAATATATAGTTGTATCGTTTGTATTTAATAGAAAAGTATCTTACCAGATATTTTATCTGTATTCCCTTCCAATACGTCGGCTCCTGTAGTTGTTTTCCAGAAAGCCCAACATTGACCGGGTGCTTTTGTATTAACAAAAGTAGCAACAGCTGTCCAGTCATTTTGATGTTTGGCGTAACCTTCTTCAAACTTGATCATTTCATCTCGAGTCCATAAAGTTGTTCCACCTGCTCTTTCACGTAAAAATTGTTCTGAACGATTTGGCAGAGCTTCAGAAATTTTTTTCCAATCAAATCCGTGCTCTTTTATGGTGGCAAAAAGTTTATCATTCTCCTCTTTAGTCCAAGGTAATTCTTGAGGACTCGAGTAATTAATATCAAGTTTCACGAAACGCTGTCCCAATACTTGAACAAAGTTTGACCATTGATTTCCGAACATTTGAGCCAGAACGATTGGTCTTTGTTCGGAGCTAATTTCTTTAGGAAGTTCAAATTGCTTAGATTTCGTTTCATCTTGAGAATCCTTTTTCATTTTAAGAAATTCGTTAATTTTCGAAGTAACCAAACCAACCCATTTTACTTGTAGATTCCAGACATTTTGTTTGCCAGCGTAGTATTTTTCAGCGATTAAATCCCAATTTGAACCCTGTTTATCTACTGCTTCAATAAGAGTACGAGTATCTTCTTCGGTCCATTCTGCAGGACCTTTTTGAAAAGGTCCATTAAAACTACCACGTTGTGAAGAGTAAGAATAATCTTTTTGTGGGTAATCTCTTTGTGAGTAATCTCGAGATGAACGCGATTCCCATGTTTTTCCATTAAGTCTTAACCACTTTGATTCGCATTGAACTGGTGTTCTTGTATTATCGAACACATCGACTGAAATTTTTCCCCAATCTTCGCCAACTGATTGTACAGCATCGGAGAGTTTTTTAATTTCTTTTGTAGTCCAAAAGCTGTTGCCAAATTTTTGAACTGATTGTTGCCATTTAGCGGACAAAGTTTCAGGAGGGTAAGCATCTTCAAAAACTACTTTTGATATGTATTTCCAATCATTTGAGCCATGCTCAGCAACAGCGTCAACCAGTTTTTGAAAATCATCAAAGGGTAGTGATGGTGCACTGGAAAAGTTACTGTTAAAGGTGGGCCTTGCGTTATCTTTATATGAAAAATTTCTCGTATCTCTAGGCATATTTTGGCCACTTTTTTTCACATCAAAGAATTCGGCTTCTGGAATATTTGATTTTCTACCTATCCATTTTTGTGCATTTGGATCTACTTTTGATTTAAAAGGTCTAGAGGAAATAAAATAGATTAAAATAAAATTAAGAAATTAAAATAAATTAAAATAAATAAAATTAAATTAATGAAGAAAATAAATTAAATTAAAATTAATTAAAAAGTCTATTAATAAATTAATGACATTAATTTATAAATAAATAAAAATCAATAAATATATATTATAAATATAGTTTATAAATATATTTTATACATACTTATCTGCATGAAAACCTCCCAAATCAAAAGGATCATTTTGACCTTGTTTTGGTTGTGGTTGAACATTTGTTACTGCTATAGGCTTTTCAGCTTGTTGAGGAGGAGCAGTAGATTGACTTTGATTTGTATTAATAGGAGGGGGTGTAGCAGCAGTTTTAGGAGAACCATACTGAGAGGAACCGAAAGGATCATTAAGAGAGACAGCAGACGTAGTAAAACAAACATTATTGTATTCATTTATTCTTTTGATGTTCTTAATTATTGTTCTTGTTGGTAAACCTTGCATTATAATACTTCTAGAAGTAGTAGTTACTCGTGAAGAGTATTGTGCGGCAATTATAAATTTTCTAGGAGAGACTCGCGAAGAGAATAATGATGTAGTGATAGAGTTTACAACAGGAGTTGCTCGTGAAAACTTAGTCATCTTGATAAAGATTTAAAAAAAAGAGAAATCCAAATTTTTTTTTTTCACTAATATTAACCTTTCACTTACTTTTGAGAGAGTTAAGGAATCAAATGATTGATTTTATGTCGTTAATATATGGGGGTTGAACGCGTAATGAAAAACGCGTTAGCAAAATTCTAGAAAATTCTTTAAATAAAATTTGTGCAACGTCAATAGATGGGTCAATTTTTTTCTCAATCCAACTGCTATATTTGTATATATTAACACATAAAATTATAACACAATACACGATTATTTTAAACGAAAGTCTGCTGAATGGAGCCTTATAAGATTTTTGAATGAAAGCGGAGAACCATTCAAGCTGAAAATAGACCTATACCTTGAGAATATCATTAACCAAGAGGAAGGGAAATATTATAATTTGCAATTTATAATTACAAATTTGTATTAAAGAAAAATTGTCAAATTCCTTAAATTACAACAATTATAAATAATAATAAATTAACTGATACTAAATCGTTGTGATGCACGATCAAATAAACTAGTCTTAAGATCAAGATCTTGTAAGAAAGCATGATTCGGTGTAACCTCTTTAAGTTGACTAATAATAATAATAATAATAATAATAATAATAATATTATTATTATTATTGTTGTTGTTGTTGTTTTTGTTGTAGTTATTATTATTATTATTATTATTATTATTAATTATGTCCAGTAAAATAAAAATTATTGATTAACATTTATTTAACATATTAATCCCAATAAAAATGATTAAATAAATGAAATACTTACTTAATATAACGATTAATAACTTCAATGGATTTTCCTAGTAAGTTAGAGACCACTATTAAATTAACTAATGTATCAGAATCATCATTATCCTATGACAAAAAAAAATAGAATAAATAATTGTTTAAATAAATAAATAAAATAAAACAATTATAAATCATAAATTATATACCTTGTTTAATGCTTCCAATAATAAACTTTCAGCTTCAAGATATTTTCCAAGGTGAATTTTACATACAGCTTGTCCATTCAACACTTTAACAGTGTTAGATATTGGAGATTGTGCAATTTCTTCATATATATAATATGCCTCCTGATATTTATCACCTCCCTTTGTTAAGAAGAATTAAGAGGAATTAAGAAGAATTAAGAATTAAGAAGAATTAAAAATTAAGAAGAATTCAGAAGAAGAATTAAGAAGAAGAAATCAATCAATAAAATTTTCAATCTGGTTTTTATATAATAATAATTAAAATAATTAAAATATTAAAATTTTAATTACTGTTTTTAGTCCAACCCATGCTTCAATGAGTTGTGCCAACATTGCATCTTCTGCCCAAGTTTTCGTTGCTGCAAGTTCTCTTTTAGCAAAATCTAAACGATCCAACTGTAGATATATTTGGATTATCAATGCAACACTATAATAGAGAAATGAACATTATATAAATAATAATAATAAATAATAATAATAAAATAATAATAATAATAATAAAATAATTACCACTCCAAATTTTTATTATGCCGAGATAAAATTTTTAATGCATCTTCAAATAGTCCTTCATTATAATATATCGAACCTGCTACGATTTGAACTGTCGAATTTAGAGTATTTGCGACATCATTTAATATCACTTCTTTAAGCTCTTTTAATGCCTCTTCTTTTTTCGCATCGGAAGCTTGCCCTCCACTTTTAGTTTGCAAATACACAGCAAGAATCTTAACTGCCTTTAAATCAATAGGATCTGTTTCCTTTATTTCTGTGATAACGATATTATATTTTCCTTGAGCTATATATGCACGATATAAATAAATTTTCCTTTCTAACTTTGCGCTTTCTGAAATAGACACATTTTTATGTGCTTCATTTATTACTTGTTGAAATGATCCTATTCGCAGAATGTAATCGGTTTCATTATTAAATGTTATAAACGTTAAACGAGTTGTAAATGAGATTTTTACCTGTGTAGAAAAGATTTCTCAATGCAAATAATTCATCCATTTCAAGAATGTTTTTTTTTTGTTACTGATCATTTTATAATCTAGATAATATAGTCGTACTACTCAACAAGCCAATCAATTTTCTTAGAAAGGTAGGATGTACGACGATTTCGTCGTCGCTGGGAGTGATAAAGGAGTGATAAGGGAGTGATAAAGGAGTGATAAAGGAGTGATAAGGGAGTGATAAAGGAGTGATAAGGGAGTGATAAAGGAGTGATAAGGGAGTGATAAAGGAGTGATAAGGGAGTGATAAA